CCAAGGAGTTGATGGTAGACTTCCGCAGGCACAAGCATTCTCCACTGCAACCACTGAACATCCAAGGTATGGACATTGAGACTGTGGACAGCTACAGGTACCTTGGTGTTCATCTGAACAATAAACTGGACTGGACTCATAACTCAGACGCCCTCTACAGGACAGGGCAGAGCAGGCTGTACCTGCTGTGGAGACTCAGGTCTTTTGGCGTGAAGGGCCCACTCCTGAAGACCTTCTATGACTCTGTGGTGGCCTCAGCCATCTTTTACGGTGTGGTCTGCTGGGGCGGCAGCATCTCTGCTGGGGACATGAAGAGACTGAACAGGCTGATCCGCAGGGTCAGCTCGATTCTAGGATGGCCTCTGGACCCAGTGGAGGTGTTGAGTGACAGGAGAATGGTGGCTAAGCTGTCATCCCTGTTGGACAACATCTCCCACCCCATGCAGAAGACTGTGACAGCACTGAGCAGCTCCTTCAGTGGCAGGCTGCGGCAGACAGACCCACACGCACATCCAAAACACAATGATAACTTTCACCCTGTCTCCCTAATGTGCAACAGTACCAAGTGCAATTTTCCCAATAGAGCAAAGTATTTTATTCTTTTTGTATAGCATGTTATTCTATCTTATCTTATTCTACTCGGTTTTTTTCTTTTTTTCTTAATTTTTACTGCTCTTAACATGTACTTTCTGCTGCGACCAAAAAATTTCCCACGTGTGGGACTAATAAAGGTTTATCTGATCTTATTCTTCCCTGGTCCCAGTATCAAGTCCTGTGTCTCAGTGTGTGACTCATGTTTCCTATTTTACTTTGATAGTCCCTTGCCCTATTTTTAGTTTACTCATTTTTGCTTCCTGTCTGTCTTGTTATGACAGATTAGCTCCAGCTGTGTTTCCCTCCTGTTTCTCATTCCCTTGTTATCCTCTGTATATTTAGTCTTGTTTTCATTTGCCTGTTGACACATCATCCCATGTTCCTGTGTATGTTTCCTGTCCTCCAGGTTATTTCTGAGTTTGTTCCTAGTCTAAGTTCTATTTTTCAGATTTAGTTTTTATTTCACTTCTATGTTTCATTTGGATTTTTTCACAGCAATATAGCTGCTTCTTTGAGTTTATCCTGTTTCGTTTAAGTCCTGCATTTGGGTCCCGCACCACCAGGACATTTACTGTACATTCATCACAGTTGCCCCCTGACAGGGTCTCCCAAAGCAAACTGGTCCTGGAAGAGTGGCTAGACAAAGAGTAATTCAGTCAACCCCTTTGTGAGAGAAAAAAGCAAGTGTATTCTGGAGTAGGGTTACTGGGCCCCATCTTTGAACTAGAAAATCAGACTCATTCCCAGTGCGGGTTGGACTCTGCCTGGGCTTCCCTTTGTGACCAATTTTGCTCTGTGTTTTTATGGATAGAATTTCTACTCATAGCCAGGTGGCAAAAGGCTACCATTTTAGTGGCCATAGAATTGCATCTCTTATTTTTTCAGATTATTCTGTATGGTTCTGTTGGTCTTATCAGGCAGTGGCCTTTAGCTCACACTGGAGTGGTTCTTAGCTGAGTGTGAAACAGCAGATATAAGAATGAGAACATCCAAGTCGGAAGCTATGGTCCTCAGCCAGAAAAGGGTGGAGTCTCTACTTCAGGTCAGGGAGAAGTGACTGCCCCAGTGGAGGAGTTTAAGTATATCAGAGTCTTGCTCATGAGGCATGAGATTGTCAGATGGACTGGGGCCAAAGTGGTTCAGTGATTTGGGCATCTGACAAGGTGAGGTGTTTGAGGCATGTGCCATTGGGAGGAGGCCTTGGGGCAGACCCACTACACTGGACAAATCAGCTGGCCCAGGAACACCTCATGTTTCCCCAGATAAGCTGGAGGAGGTGGCAAGAGAGAGATCTGGGTATCCTTGCTGTGACAACTGCCCCTGTGACTCAGATAAATGTAAGAAAATGGGTGGATGGATAGATGCATGCAGATGCGCAGAGTACACTGAGAGAGAGAGAGAGAGAGAGAGAGAGAGAGAGAGAGAGAGAGAGAGAGCTGTGCAGGAAGTGTGATTTTTATTGTGGTGGAGGGAATTCATGACAATTTTTATCAAACGTGAAGCATAATTTGGATCTTCTTTTGCTGCTGATTCAGTGAACTTTGGGGATGAAACCTGCATCTTTAGAATCTGTTAGATGTTGGCTTTCAGCTCAGATGGCATGCCTGCGTATGTGCCATCGGGTGAACAATGCTCTGTGTTTACATCTTTGTGCTGAATCCGTTTAACTGCTCTCATTTACTGTTTTAGCTGTTTAGTGTTCATTAAAATAGTTTTGTGAGCTTTAACCTGAGATTCTGGCATTTCTGGCAAAGTCCATTTACATTTAAAAAATCGATTTGAGATTTAATGAATCGATATTGCTTTATTTAAGATAAAATTAATTTGACTTGGGAAAATCGTTTTTTAAAACCCAATCCTATTTCTGCATCCTTATTTTAACTTTAAGAATAGTAAAAAGAAAGTGTCAGTCATATGCAGTCCCACAGCATAAGACTTTCAGATAAATCTAGCACAATAGCTGATATTGTGAATAAATCTGACAAGCCAGCCTTATTTGCCATAAAGGAGAAATTGACATGATATAGAACCTTGAGTTCTTCTCAGGTGGCTGTAACTCGGATAGTAGCGCAGATCCTTTCCTAATTGAAAGGCTGGTGGTTTTGATCCATGGCTGCTCCAGTCTGCATGTCAAATATCCATGGACAAAATACTAATACCAAGTTACCCTCTGATGTATGAATATGAGAAAGAAAGCACTTCAGTAGAAAGAAGTGCTTGGCTGAATGAGGCAAGTTGTATAAAGTGCTTTGACATTTGATTAAATATTTCTATTAAAATATAATAATTTTGGTTTGGCTTGAACACTAAGATGAAACATAACTTTTAGTTGCACATTTGTCAACTTTACTGAAACCCTTAAATGTACCCTAGGTTAACCCACACCACTGTACAGGAAGGTGGTAAATCTGCTGATAAAACCGGTTTCAATAGCTTGCTAGTTGAGCTGATATTTGAACCATGCTGATAAAAAACTGAAATGCCTTGATTATCTGTCTCATACATAAACACATACCCAGCCAGATGCAGCTATATCATAAAAACTACACAATGAACTTAGGCTGCTGCCCCCGCGACCCGGCCTGGGATAAAGCGGATGAAGATGGATGGATGGATAGATGAACTGAAGGACCTGAAATTTTGGTGTGCATGTTCATGGTTTCAAAATGACCGCTTTTCTGAACTTAACAGAAAGATTTTATTACATATTCACCAATCTATTTTTGTTATTAGCAAGGAAAAAAATCTTGCTACACTGAAAATGGTCAGCAATGACCTCCCGCATGCTTCTGTAAATGTGAAAACAAGAGTTGCAATTATCTGTGTTCGTTTTAACGTTTTAACACTTTGCAACAGGATTAACAAGACATAAAAAAACACAGTTTGACTTAGCTGGTCGAGTACACCACTCACTGATGGACCTGCTATTATGTAACTGTATGGTCTCTGTACACCCAAAACCAAATACCTTAGTTATGAGGAAAAGAGACAAGAGTACTAAGTACTGTAATAACACTGAATAAAAAAAGGGTTTTTCAGTTCATGTTCTTTAGGGGGGAAAAAAGCAGTCTGTCTCCACTCAGTAAACAACCTACATGGGCTTTTGTTTGTGTGTGTGTACACACTGGGTACATAAACTGGACTTTGAGCCAGAGTTTGCACTAGTGAAGAGAGAGTGACAGAAAAGCCTAGATCTACTGAAAAGCGAAAAAGAAAACAGTGATTGCAGTAAAAGCTGAAAATAAAAGGCAAATATAATGTACTAAAGACTAAAATGGGGTGTGGTGGCTCAAGTGGTACAGCACATCAGCTACTGATTAGAAGGTCAGTGGTTCGATCCTTGGCTTCCCCAGTCTACATGTCAAATATCCTTGGGCAAGATACTAACCCCAAGTTGCCCTCCGATGCATTCATTGGAGTGTGAATAAATGTGAATGTAGATTAGTTTGCACTTGTGTTTAGAAGTGAATGAGGCATGTTGTATAGAGCGTTTTGAGTACTCCGGGAGAGTAGAAAAGCGCTATATAAGAATCAGTCCATTTACCATTTAAAATAACTGAATATATTTTAATAATAATCCATTGTTCTAATCCCAGGTCTTTTCTTTAAATGAAAATAAAACATAAATCTTTCACTATGATGTAAACGTTGCCTCAGCCCAAGGCTATTAAACTTTTATTAGCCAGTACCAAATCAACATCCTTCACTACACCAAGGCAAAAAAACAACAACAAAGTTCCAACATTAGCAAATCCTAATTTTTTCAATGAGACGTTTTGTTGCGCAAGAGAGCTCAGGGGTTAAAACAGCTGTTCTGTGAGGAACTGTTATCACTCAGGAGAACAGGTAACAACCATCCCACTATATGGGATATTATAACAGCTGCCTATTTCATTATAAAAATCATCTTGTGCTAAAGAGAACCTTTCTAAAGACCTTCATTAATCAGTTGTATAAGTTAAGGCAAAGTACACTAATACGAAGAACCAAGTCATATTTGCTTTCCACTAAGCTACAGACTAAAGACTACAGAAGTGGCTTTAGCTCAGGAGGTAGAGCAGGTCATCTGCTAATCAGAAGATTGGCGATTACCAGAATACTAACCTACTAACTAAGTTGCTCTTGGATGGATCTGTTGGAGTGTGAAAGCTAGCTATAAGCACTTACATAGAAAATACATACTAATGTATGAATGGGAGAGTGAAGCGAATGCTTTGACTGCTAAGATGGAAAAGCATTATATAAGAACCAATGCATTTATTGCAACAATTGCACATTCCAAAGTCATTTAATAGATCTATGCTGTTCAATACACAATGTATTTCTTCCATAACAAGCAATTATATATGAACCTTTTGTAATGTTCAGTTACTGACCTTAAAGGCAAATTTGCAGGTGATGTTTTCTGAAAGCTCTACTCCTCCAATCTGGAAACTGAGCAGGGGCAGACTCCCTAACACTGTATCCTCTTTGTCATCTGTGAATAAAAAAATTAAAAATGTAAAAAAAATATCCAGAATATTACACTTGAGTAGTGCTACAAATATGTGAGAGAAATAGCAATTACAGCTTGGGTTAGTAAAAATTGGCAGGATTAAGAAACAATAAAAGGAAGCAGGAATGTCTAGCCCAAACATGACTGGAATAAGAACTGCTCTTCTAGGACACCCAGCAATCCCCTCAGCTTCCACATTGAAAGTTTCCCACAATATAGGTCCATAATGGTCTGAACAAGCCTGTGATATGCAGTGACAAAGGCACAGACATTCTTCCTCACACATACCCAAAGGTATCCAGTGGAGATAAACAGGCGTACTGTAGAAGGGGCGTACCAGCACTGACTAAAGAATAAAACACATGAAAATTGAAGTAGTTTGAAAAATAATCAGTGTTCTCCTACCTCTTAAATCGCAAATGTAGCTGCGCACCGACAATTTTGCTTTGGCTGAGTGTGTGCCTTTACGTGTAGGCGTGCACTACAGAGAAAAATAGAGACAACAGAAAAGGGCAGGGAAGCAGAGAGACGGAGGGAGCGACAGGGCGAGAGCTCTAAAGGGAGGGGGAAGGGCTTGTGCAATCACAGAATACACAGATCCCTGCTCTGTGTGCCTATTTGTGTGAGATAATCATCAGCCCATGTGACTAAGTGTTGCAAGAATCTAAGCCCAGCCAGCTGAACCTGCTGCTTGCCTGCACCAATGAGACTCAAGCAACGCATGTGCTTGCATGTTTGAGCGCTTCTTCAATTCTGCTCATTGCTCCCATGCATATGTGAAAAATGTATTGATTTATTATATTTATAGACTGGAGCCATAAGACAAGATAAACCTAATCCCACATGTGGGAAATCTTTTGGTCATGGCAGAAAGTACAAGTTAAGAGCAGTAAAAATTAAGAAAAAAAGGGGAAAAAACAGTAGAATAGAATAACTATACAAACTGCAAATAGAATAAAATACTTCGTTCTATTTGGAATATTACTATTGAAAAAGTACATGGCAGTAGTGGTCGATAAGACTGAAAAAGCAGAACTATTTGAACAGAAAACACAATGAATGCAAAAACGGTGCAGTGCACAAAATAAATGAATGAAAACATTTTACAGCGTTAAACTAAATAGTCCCAGAATTTCTCTGGGACATTTTACTGTATGGTATAGTATTTTTAGAATCACACAGACAATAATTAACATTAATGTTAGTAAAGGAAGAAGCCAGAACTTTTATGTGAGGTTGAGAGGTACCATGGAAATAAAGGTAGGACCACATCAATACACAGTCTTGTTTCTGGAACTAGTCTCCTCGGAAGAGGCTGGACTCATTTCCACTCCACCATTGGTAAGGTCATTATACTTCAATGTCTGTACATTGGGATTTTTGGTAGGCAAGAGGACTGTTTCCTTGACTTGGTTTGCAGCCTAGGTCAAACCTATGTTGATGTTTTTGTAAATGTATCATCAGATTCGCAGCCATATGGTCTTCTTATTTCATACGAGTAGTGAGTCACTTAGTTGGGTGATGAGAGGAGCAGAACGGCATAGGAGCATTTGGGATCAGCCAAATATACCAACATTTTTAAAGGACTTCTTTGTTTCCTCCACGCATTTCAGTCCCACAGAGATGCTCAGAGTGTAGGGATTTGGCCATCTGAGAATGGGGTCAGTGAAGTAAATAAACATATCTTTGTTGACAAAGCCGTCCTAGCCACCCTCACCCAAGAAACTGATACAGTTGCAGGGAATGGCTGGGCCTTAGCTATCCTGGGAGCAGGAACACAAGGACAAACAGCAGTGGCAGACTGTGTGGTTTTCTTTTGAGATGACCCAAATGTGGACTTTAACAAAGAGTGTGTAGTTTATTATGGCAGATGACAAAAACTGGTTTTCACAGTTGACGAACATTATGTCACGGCGAGTGAGGTGAGCCGTGTGGAGGAAATGAAGGAGGATCCAAGTGCAGGCAGTCGTGAAGGTGTAAAGGTGGTTTATTGAACATGAAAGTAAATACAAACGGCAAATGGAGCTAGAACTAAACTATACTGGGATCAACTAAACTACAGAGCACAAACCTTAACGAGAACGACCAGAAGAGACTAACGGCGGACAGCAGGGAGAACACACAGGTGAGACATGGTAGAAACACAGATGAGGCAGGGTGGAATACACAGACGGACCAGCAACTACAGTGACGGAAGACATGACTTAAATACACAGAGAATCACAGGGGAATTACACACAGGTGGTGGACACAGCTGGGAATAATCAACAAGACGGGACAAAGGTAAAACCGAACACACTTACATGAGACCCAGACCTTCACAATAGAACAGGAAATGAGAACACCACACCAAGACGCAGACCTGACACTGAGAGACAGACAGAATGACACATGGAACCTAAACTAAACTAAACGTGAGATACAACCGAGAACAAATCCTTAAACATGAACCTCAAATAATAAACATCATAACCATCATCATAAACACAACAAGAGAACAAGAAAACAATCCCTGATGCAAACCAAAACCAAAAACATAATAACCTCAAACATGGAATAACAAAAACATGAAACTCCACATACTGGGTCCAACGGACCCAGACCCGTGACACATCATCTAATCATACCTTTATAATTTTCTGGAGAGGTCTAGCTTAGTAACATATGTAGCATTAACCTTTCTGTAATCAGTACAGAAACGTGGGATGTTATCTGGTTTGGGCACCAAAATACAGGGCGAACTCCATGCACTGCTACTGGGCACAGCTAACCCATGTTTAACTAGATATTCAACTTACTGTTACATTAAAACCAGTTGGTTGGTAGGATTCACTCTATAGGTGTGTTGTTTTATTGCCTTATCAACTTCCACAACGATGTCATCACCAATGTTTGCCAAGGATAGTCAGAAAAAAGCAGCAGATTAGCTTTCATCAAATCGATGATATCTTTGAGGGTGGAATCCAGTGATGGGAATAACGGCGTTACAAGTAACAGCGTTACTAACGCCATTAATTTTTTTAGTAACGAGTAATCTAACTAATTGCTATTCCTATCGTTACAACGCTGTTACCGTTAGAAAGAAAGAAAGGAAGAAAGAAAGAAAGAAAATGCGGTCGCGTTACTATTTTTCAACAAACAGACGGTTGAAGCTGTCTTTAGTCTACCGCACCTTATATCAGTTGAATGGAAGTAGCTGTCTATGTAAGTAATCTGGGCGCTACAGCTTTAAGCAGCTGTGCACGCTCCTGCGGGCAGCAATCACTGTCTGGTAGATGATCACTTTTTGGCACAACACCTGGAGCTCAGGGGGCAAACCAATCGCATGAGTGCTGCTGTTTGGCTGAGGAAGAATAAAGTAGTCTTGGTAAGCCAATCACATGACCACTTTAAGATGACAAAGCAACAAGGTGATATATACCAGTTTTTAAATTGTGTTGATAGGCCACGTAAAACCAGAGACATGATCAACAATATATACGCGTTTTTTCTTCAATAGTTTTGTCACGTTTACTGTCTAAGGACAGCGCTGCGAGCACTCTCTGCTTATGAGCAAAAAATAAAAATACAAACAAAAAACAGCCCGTTCATGTTGGTGGAAAAAGGCACCATGTCGACCAATCAAAAAATGATATGGCAAAATGACTGCTGCTGCTGCTGGAAGTTCCATGCATTAAAGAATGCTACCACAGTTGATAAATCCCAGCCATTTTCTTCGCCGTGACTTCCTGTCAGGATTTGTGTTGTGTGGAGGCGAGGAAGTGACCCAAACGCAGGACTCGTGGATAGTGAAGAACGGAAGATTGTTTATTACGAAGAGTGGATGAACAGGGCAGGAACGAAAGGACTGACTGGCTGAAAGACTGGATGGCTGGCTGAACTGAACGCAGGCAGAAACGACAACATAACATCAATGACACAACAGTGAACAAGTGGAAACAGAGGACTTAAATACACAGACTGATAAGGATGATAATGAGAGACCGGTGAGTACACAGCTGAACATAATCTGACTAACGACACAAGAGACGAGCTGACACAGGAAAAGCAGGAAGTGAGAACATTGATGTGGCAACATGAACTAAACCTGACAAAACTGAAAGCACTGGGTCAAAGACCCAGGAACTCTGACACCTCCCCACAGTTTCTCAAGCACAGCACAGGTGTAGCACTGAATTTAGACTTTTGTTTAGGTCCTATGAAAAAACATATAATTCAATTCAATTCAATTAAACTTTATTGATCCCGAAGGTTGACCCCGAAGGAAATTGGGTTAAGGCTGCCGACCTGTTGCCAACTCCATCTTACCCTTCCGACCATACATACATTACACAACATCACATGGGGAAGACAGGTCAGAGAGGTATATCAATGGAAAATGCACTACATGAGGAAAGACAAGGAGAAAAAAGAACTCCCCCAGACTGAGCTCCAACAGGGAGCTCAGTTTGAGAACAGAAAAAACCTCAGTAAATAGCACATGAATCATCACATCTCACAACATAGAAGACATAAGCTTCAAAGGTGTTTGGAGGGGGTGGGGGGTGGGTGGGTGTAGGTCTGTGTCAGTGTACATGTGTAGGTGTGCGTGTGTGTGTTCCATGTTCAGCCGAGAGAAAGTGTCCCTTCACCCGGTTAGGCAAAAGTCAACAATCTTCGGTCGACGCGGGTGACCTTGAATGAGGAGGGAGAGAGTCACAACAGTCTTATTATCTAAGGGAGAATTGTTATTCCCGTCAGCTTTTGCCTTGAGCATCCAGCTGGTGCCAGGGGGGCCACATGAGATGAAGATGGTAGTGGTTTTGGTTAGTGCAAACAAACTGCATCCAATTTTACAGTAGGTCTAATGTCCGTCACTAGTCACCAGGTCTCTCAATTCCCGTTGTTCTTCTCCAAGATCTTATCCATATTGCATTCAAAAAAACACAGTCTGAGTACACACAGTCCTGCCCGTCATCTATCATGTTGGCCAGCCTTGTGGGTTTTCTAACAGCTGTAGCTGCTTTTGTTCCTCGATAAGCCAGGTCTGAGCCAGCTCCAATAGGCCAGAACTCTGTTATCATGGTTCCGAATTGGTAGATGTTATTCAATGTCTTCCATCGATAGTGTTGCCAGACACACGATGCAACTGGCCATCGAGTATCCGGCAGGGAGAGGGAGCAGGAGAAAGTGCGACCGCCTCCGTCAAGAGCCAAGAGATGACAAAATTCCCGCCACATGTTGGAATTAGTTGTTGTGAACTGCGTTACCCAAATACTTGTCCACCCATCTTCTGTAATCTCAATGTCCATTTCTCTTTCCCATTTCTGTTTTATGTAAATTGTTGAGTGCTTTTAAGCTTAATCATACATTTGTACACTTTACTTATCAGTGCTTTGTTACTCTCGGAGTCATAAGCGTCAATGAAGATGATAACAATCGAGAAGTCTCCAAGGACACAGCTGTTTATTCTTTTGCCAATATAGTCACAAAATTGCAAGTATCGGAAGAAGTCTTGTTTATCGAGGTCATAAGTCTTACATAAGGTATCTAAAGCCATAATTTTAGATTTTGCTATAACTGTACACACAG